CCTTGGGAAGGCACCAGATATGCAAGATCAAGGTGGGGTGGTAGCTACAACCGAGAGTGCCAACCCACCACAGAGTTGCTTAAAAGCTTCTAAGAAGCATCCAGCAAAGAGGGAGTCACAGAGGGAGGTTGTGGTTTTCACTTGCTCACAACATGATGCTTCACATACCCTTTTTTAGCTTCAGCGGCTGGTCCAGAGTTCTCTGTGGCGCAGCCCAGACACCAATTTCTGGGCCCCTTTGGGCCTGTGATGGAGACATAGGCCTGAACTCTCTCTGCAGGTGGAAAGGCTCCTCAATGCCCTGGCCCAGCCCTCATCCACCGGGACACCATCTCCCCTGCGAGGGCCTGCTGGAACTGGGGGCTGAGCCGTATCTGGCCTTGTGTGGCTCCTCTCTCCTGAGCCTCCCCATGGGAGAGCCTCAGGGCACCCTGGTCATTTGAGGTTCAGCGCCTGCCCACTGCTGTGGCTCCACCAAACAGTAGCAGCCATGCCTTCTCAGGCCTATCCACTCCATCAAGCAAATTATTCATTTACAAGCTGACTAATTAATAAGTTATTAATTAAAACAGATTCAGGCCTGAGATTCAGGGTCCAACTTAAAATCTCCACTCATTGCCATAGCCAGTATTAACCACATATCCAGCTGTTCCTTTCAAACCGTTATGCACCTTTGTTTCACAGGGATTTAAGCTGATGCCTATTTGTTCTGTTCTTTATAGCACAGGGATGGGGAATTGTGTTGAAGACCCTTATAAAGTCAGAGTATGGCCCACCTACTGCTCCTCCCAGCTCCGCTGCCAGCTCGGGAAGGAAGCTAGGTTGGTTTGAAATAATTTAACAGCTATTTCTTAAATCACATTATTCAAAATTTTTCTGACTAGCTCCTATTGCTTCAGGCCCTTTTTCTGTGTTTGCTCTCCTGAGATGTTTCCTGGCTCCTCCATGTCCTGGAAAGCAATTGCTCATTGTCCAATTTTTCAGACAGCCCCTTAACACACCAGACACCAGAACCCAGCCTCCCAGGGCTCCTCCAGTGGACTATAGACGGCCCCTGTCATGACACAGCCCTGCTCTCCCCCCACCGATCTTCAGAGATGCTCAAAAGTCTCTGTCTCTTCCAGAGCAAAGACAGCCCTGCTGCCCTTTCCCCACCTCTCCTTGTGCAAGCAATAGCCCTCTATA